TTGTGGTGTCCAGGAAGTTGATGCTAGTGTGGGGATGTACCAGAGAAAGTTGAATGGATGGGCAGTGGTTGTTGTAGTTGTTGTGGAAAATCTATGAGGGAGTTTAAGCCGTCTGTCCAGAGGATGGAAATATGATCTATGTATCTCAGGTATATCATGGTTTTGTGATGCACTTCTCCAGAAATTCTTCAAGGTAGCCCATGAAGAGTTTGACATATTGGTGAGCCATCCTAGTGCCCATGGCTTTTCCCATGGTTTGAATAAAGTATTTGTTGTTGAATTTAAAATTATGGGTGAGGATGCAACGGATGAGTTTGGTGATGTGTTTGGGATGGATATCTGAGGGTTGTCCATTGTCTAGTAAATATTTGAGGCAGGCAGCTATGCCATCATTGTGAGGGGATGTTGGTGTATAGGGAAGTGACATCTGTGATGGTAAGGGTGATGTTCTGAGGCAGGTTGTTAATGTCGTGGAGTTTGTGGAGGAAGTCATTTGTGTCCTGCAAGAAGCTGACTCTCTGTGTGGCGGGTGGTTTGAGGATGGTTTCTGTGAATCCCGATATTTCTTTGGTGGGGATGCTGTGGCCAGATATGATGGGTTTGCCTGGTTCCCTTGTTTGTGTATCTTGGGAAGCACGTAGAAGGTTCCTGGGGGATGAGTTTGCAGAGTTTCTCTTTGAGTTGTTTGGGGCAAGATTTGATGATATCCTTAAATTCCAGGGTAAATTGTGGTGTGGGGTCTTCTTTGAGTTCTTTTATAGTAAATCGTGTCGGAAAGTAATCGGTTGGCCTTGTTAATGTAGTCATCACGGTTGAGGACTACAATGGTGCCCCCTTTGTCTGCTGGTTTGTTCACTATCTTGTGGCTAGATTTCAGGGCCTGTATGGCTGTCCTCAGCAGTGGAGAGATTATGGTGGATGTGATGTTTAAGAATTTCAAAGTCAGTTTTTTTCATGAAGCTATCAAGGTTATGATCAAGAGTGTGGTTTCATCTGCTTTGTGGTGTCCAGTCAGATCTCCACCCTCCTAAGCATCGGTCCAGCCTAGCAAGAGGGACATGTAGTTATGATTATCATAATGTTTGTTTTGGTAATAAATTAATCTCCCTCTTACTACTGATGTAGGTACTGATGCTCTATACCAGGGGTAGGCAACCTATGGCACGCGTGCCGCCTTCGGCACGCAAGCTGATTTTCAGTGGCACTCACACTGCTTGGGTCCTGGTCACCAGTCTGGGGCGGGGGGGGGGGTCTGCATTTTAATTTAATTTTAAATTAAGCTTCTTCAACATTTTAAAAACCTTATTTACTTTACATACAACAATACTTTAGTTATATATTATATACTTAGACAAAGAGACCTTCTAAAAACATTAAAATGTATTACTGGCACGCGAAACCTTAAATCAGAGTGAATAAATGAAGACTTGGCACACCACTTCTGAAAGGTTGCCGACCCCTGCTCTATACCTTTGCAAACACACCAGCTCTTGCAAGTGTTTCTGAAATTCTACCTTATTCAATTACAGTAGTTCTATTATGATTTTTCTTTTATCCCCTCTTGAATACTTTCCCTCTTCTGCAGATTACTCAGTAGTTAAAAACCTTCAGAAAAATCTATCCAAGTATTTTATATTTGGCATAAACATGATAGAATGCATTAGATAAGTCTCCCTTTAGAAGGATTACTTTGCATCAACTGTCTTCATGCATTTTTCATTGTTACTTTCTTGGCAGGACTGACTGTGCAGAGTGTAAAAACTCATTCAGTCACAGCAATTGCCTTGCAGTAAATTTATATAACATTCTAACATTCTCAACTCTTGTCTTGTTAGGCTTAATTTCAATTAGATCTCACAGTGGATGTTAGTTAAAGCCCAAAACTGTTGTTTTACTTTACCATGAGTCTGCAGTTGTCATATATCCATATTGTGACAATAATCTCTGTTTTACTAAAAAGTAAAATTTTTGGCGGTATCTCATCCTAAAATATTTGTCTGTCTGTGTGTGTCTCTCTCTCTAAGAGTGGGGGTTAGGGGGAAGACCTCTAAAGCATATCTGCATTTTCTGGAAATTAACATAACACCTGTTTTTAAAAAAATAACTTTTTTTCAAAAAAATTATAGGAGTGAAATATTTATTGATGAATTCACAATTAGTGTATTGAAGCTGTCACTATAAAATCTAAAATATGTCTCAAAATATTACATAAGGCAAAATGATTAAATAGAGTAATTATTCACCTACACAGGAATTTGAAGAGACACCTCAAATAATATGTTCCTAAAAGCAGTGGTAACTGTGTGGTTAATGAATTATTTACAAGGTTAAGTACATTTTATTTATAAAACAAGTTTGGTAGATGGATCCCTCAGTCACTTTTCAATGTATAAAAAACTGCACTATTTTACTCAACGTCTCTGCTCCCTGTCTCTGTTTTGTATTCAGAGTCATTCTAGGCTAGATCTACAAAGGGACTTACACGTTGCAATGCTCAGTGTTGCAACATCTAACTTTTAGGTGCCTTGCCATCCAGTGGAATTCACAGCCCTGAGTTAAGCACCTAGGCGCTCTAAACAATGCATGTGAAGTGTTTGGGATTCACACAAGCCAACATGCTGAGCAGGGAGCCATCTTAGCTGGCCAGTTGAAAATTCCAAGGAGAGGGTATGTCCTCAGTCCTTTAAAGGGACTTATCTCTGCTTAAATTCCCCCCTCTGCATGGTGAGGAGAAGAGATTTAAAATTGGGTCTCCCTTCTCTCAGGTGGGTGCCCTAACCACTGGACTTCAGAATCATTCTCACTCTTTCTGGCCCAATTCACATTTAATTATTTATACACAGTGGAACAGCTTCAACAAGAGAGACTGAGAGAGCGCCGCATCAGAATATCCCATCGTTCAGTGCTTAAGGGAGGAAGTGGGAAATCCAAGTTCAAATCCCTTGTCCCTCTCAGGCCATTTCCCACTCCCACTCCTCAGGCCATTTTGTGTGAGTTTAGGCATGCTCAGAGCGTGCCTACCAGATCAGGCCTTGCAGGCAAGATAAGCCAAGGAATGCCTAGTTTGAGGATCCTGCTGTGGCTTATGCATGAGATGGGCACTTGGGCGCCTAGACAGAGGCAGCTGCATGGATCTTCATTGGCAGAAACTTAGGCACCTGGGAGACTTTAATGCTGGAAACTCGGACACCTGAGGATTTTAGGCACCTAGAGAGCAGGGGCAGCTGAGTGCAGGCTTTGAGGATCTCTGTGATTGTGAAAAGTTGGACTTAGATGTCTGAAGTGGCAGTTAGGTACCTGAGTCCTTTTGTGGATCTAGCCCCATCTGCCTAGTTAAAATATGCTTTTATATCTCTTTACTTTGTGAGCTGGATCTCCTTCTGGCTCACGCAAGGTCCTGATATTACAGGACTCTGAACGTGAACCCTGAGAAGGTGAGCATCATCAACTCCAGTGGAAGTCAATGGGAGTGGAATGCTCTTACGCCTCACTTACGCAAAGTGCTTAAGCGCAAGCATAACTTTGCACATGTGCAACTGGGGGGGAAAGTTGCAGACTAGGAGTAAGAAGGAGGTTTTTAGATTCAAATGGGGGTAAAATTTGGTGTACAGAATCTTGTACTGAGGATGAAGCATAATCGAGAAAGAACCCATATTGACAGCTAGTGACACAAGTACAGGGCTCTTTGCTAGTTCTAAGAAAAGTAATTTACTAGGGGGTTGGGAAAAGGACAAAGCATACTTTTTTAATTTTTTTAAAATAAATTTTAACTTCCCATCTTCTCCTCTACTTGGACAATTCACGGGGCTAATTTCTGTTGAGAAGTGAGCTTACTATAACACAGTGTCTGTTAGCATTATACAAAGTACTTGCTAACATTGAGGTGTTATTGAGAGAGTTTAAATACATTCTACAATCTGAAAAGCTTATACTGACTTTCTTTTGTTTGCCAAGATATGAGGTATGTTGTATATCAGTGGGACAGGTTCTGTGTCATTCCATTTGAATTTTATTCTTAATTTTAATTCTTAATCCATCACTTCAGAAACTTTTAAATATAAGAAAACATTATACCCCAAATCCACAGGAATTTAACTTTTGTTTAACTTAAATTTTATAATTCTTTTTTATTCCTAAGCGTGCATGGGAGGTGGTTGACTCCAATGACTCTGTATCTCATCATCAAGAGGAGTTACCACCTCCTCCACTGCCTCCTGGATGGGAAGAAAAAGTGGACAATTTGGGACGTACTTACTATGTCAACCATAACAACAGGACAACTCAGTGGCACCGACCAAGTTTAATGTAAGTATCAGAGCAGTTCAATAAATTGATGGAACATGCAAGATTATGAGTAAGGATGGTTATTCTTTCAAACAAGTATTATTATTATGAATTCACAATAGATATCCCAGGCAGTAGGCAGAACAAATCTTAAAACAAAAGACCTAAAGACTTTTATGAGGTATGTTCATACGTTGTTCTTTACAATAACAGATTAGTTGTAAATTTGATGTTAACTGAGATAAATATCGGGGAATATAATTTGGTCTGAGTGTGTGGGTTGTTTGTTTTTTCATAAACCACTCTAGTTAGTTGAGAATTAAAGGCTAAGGTCCTTCACTTGGAGATGAAATTGTACTCCTTTAAAAAGTGGTATTCTCTTTTTTTAAAAACTGTGTGGGAGCTAATGAAACAAACATCTAGACCATTTTACTATTTTAGACACATCTGGAGTTAATCAAATTTTTTATATGAGACAATCTCCAAGCACATACAAAATCTTAAACACTTCAATAGGTATTCATTACCACAGGGACATGGGCTCAGGAAAAAAGGAGTGTTTTCTGTATATAATAGTCCCAGTTTGAAACCAGGTGATTCCTTAAACACATAGGGCCCGATCCAGAATCCTTTGAAGTTAATGGATGTCTTTCCAGTGACTGCAGTGGATGCTGGATCAGACCCATAGAGACAGGTTCTACAAGGTGTTAAGTGTTTTCTTTATGTTGCTGAATGCTCTCAACTCTTTATTGGCTTTAGCAGATGGTAAGGATGTTCAGCAGGATTGGGCACATAGTGAAATACCCTATCCTGCCTTGGGATCACCTAAATTAGGCCCTTGTACCACTGACTGCAAATTGTAGAAATTAGAAAACCTATGTTAACAAACTAGAGGGTAATCTAGTTGAGCCCTCCATATACATGTTATCTCTGAAAAATAGACTTAATGAACAAGTTTAACTGAACAGAATTGGTTGTAATTAGTTTTGCTGCTTCAGGGTGTTGGTTTACATTTCCCATCTGGTCAAAAAGAGGGATTTTTGTTTTGTTTTGTTTTTTGTTTTTGTTTTAACCTAGACTTTCTCTCACAATTCAGTTTTTATAAAGGCAGACTGACTTCCACTTTCATTGAGCCTCACTGACTAACTGTAATTTGTTACTGACTAATTTGTTAACATATATTTACATAGTAACCATACAACCTAGATCTCTGCTTACCTTTCCTCTTTATAATTTGTATGCATATGACATTTCTCATGCAACTCCCATTCGCAAGTGTGAGGTATGCTCACATTGAAAGGCAAAATCTGACACGTACTAGAGTTGGAAGAGCCTTGGGGAAATTTACAGAAGGAAACAATGCAGCCTGCCTTAGGGGTGTTCTCTGGCCTGCCAAGTTAGATAATTTACAGTGGCTGTGCTGAAATTGAAGTTCAGGCAGTCACCTCAAAAGCCCAGCTTACTCAGTACGATGACATCGCGCCTGACACACATTTGTAGAGATCCTGAAGTAAGGAAGAGCCCTTGTAGGTCACCAATCAGTAGGAATTTTCAAACTGTCATCTTATTTCTGTAATGTTCAGTTTTCCCCTTCTTTATAGATGTCAATTGAAGCTTAGAGACACTGGCTTCAGTGGTGGTGCATTTATTAATAGCTGTTGATTAATTCTGATAGTAAATTATAGATTTTTCTTAATGGTGTTACAATATTTGAAGGCAGGGGGACTTATGGTAAGAAGCTCTCAGTGTTTTTAATGTTCTGTCAGCTTTTCTTGAACCTCACATATGAATATCTGTAAATGATTTGGTAGTTGCGTTAAATATTGGGGGAATAGAGGGGTCACAAAAGGTATTAGGAACTGTATGGTTATTGGAAAATGCCCCTATACAAAGAGCCGTATCTCCTTACGAGGGTTCAAGAACTCTCCAGTTTTATTCATGTGTGGTCTAGGTGTCAAGATACCCATATTAGCTTTGTGCCATTATAGATAAGTTATTTGTGCTTCCATGTGTATATATAAAAAGCTTGCATATTATGTACATATATGTATTGTGGATAAAGTGTGAACAACAGTACAGTATTATTCTAACTCCATCATACCCATATAATAGTTAACACAAATTGGTACCAACAAGGCTATTAGGGGCATATTGCAGGTTATTGGGAGGTCTCTGCTGACTAGATAGATTATTTATTTGATAAGAGTGTGCTTACAAGAGGAACTGTAAAAGAGGAAAGAGAAATCTGCATCATACCTTTTGAGTTTAAATACAGCTAAAAATATTTCACTTTGCTAAGAGATTTTAATATACACCAAAATGTGTAATTTATGTAATCTTCTACTGATGGCAGAGATCCTTTCATGTTCTTAATTCTACATTTCTTATTGTTACAAAATACGGTAGGCCATGCATAATTGACTAGGTAAGATCTGTACTGAAATCAAACATTAGTCAAACACCTACATTTATTTTGCTGTTTGACATGTAATTACTCTTCTTCCACGATGGGATAATTATTACAGTAACATCTTTTGAATATTAATTTATATTTATTATCATAATTATGTAAATCTGTGTTGTCTATATTTCTTAAAACCCTACTGTTTATTTCTAGGTTTCCTCTTAGTTAGAGATTTGGATACTAATATTTTTATGCAGACAGTGATTTCTAATTAGATTATATATTTATTAACAATAACAGTTGTAATAATTAACATGATATTGTGCCTTTTTATTCTATATGTTTTGCATCGCTTTTAAAACCAACTGATATAATGGAATTTGGGATGTTATATACTGAATGATGGGGCTGTCCTCAGTTGTCTTATCGCTGTGGACTTGTCAAACAAACATGATTTCATTTTTTGAGTACAAGTTCGGTTGATAAAGATAACTGGGTAGATGTAATACACCTCTACCCCGATATAACGCGACCCGATATAACACGAATTCGGATATAATGCGGTAAAGCAGCGCTCCGGGGGGGCAGGGCTGCGCACTCCGGCGGATCAAAGCAAGTTCAATATAACGCGGTTTCACCTATAATGCGGTAAGATTTTTTGGCTCCCGAGGACAGCATTCTGTCGGGGTAAAGGTGTATATTGAAACTTTGTAAGGCATTTGACTTAGTACTGCACAGAAACCTGATTAAAAAAATAGCATAATACAATATCAGTAAAGAACACGTTAAATGGATTAAGAACTGGCTAACTGACGGATCTCAAAAAATAGTTGTCAGTGGGGAATCATCCTCATCAAATGGGGATGTTTCTAGTGGGGTTCCGTAGGGCCCAGCACTAGGCCTAATGCTATCTAACATTTTCATAAATGATCTGGAAGTAAACGTAAAATCACTGCTAATAAAATTTGCGCATGACACACAGGTTGGCAGAGTAGTAAATAATGACAAGAGCAGGGCAGTGATACAGAGCAATTTGGATCATTTGGTAAGTTGAGCCTATTCAAACAAAATGAGTTTTAATACAGCCAGATGCAAAGTCATACATGTAGAAGCAAGGAATGCAGACCATTCCTACAGAATGGTGAGGGGGCGGGGGGCTGTATCCTGGAAAGCAGTGACTCTAGCCTAGTCTACACTTACCGGCTGGTCCAGAGGCACGCCATCGATGTTCTGGGATCGATTTGTCGCGTCTGGTTAAGACGCGATAAATCGATCCCGGATCGATCCCGGAAGTGCTCACAATCGACGCCGGTACTCCAGTTCGCCGAGAGGAGTACGCGGCGTCGACGGGGGGACTTCCGGCCGCGTCTGGACCGCGGTAAGTCCGGACTAAGGTACTTCGAATTCAGCTACGTTATTAACGTAGCTGAATTTGCGTACCTTAGTCCGAAGTCCGGACTAAGTGTAGACCAGCCCTCTGAAAAGGATTTAGTGGTCATAGTGGACAAACAACTGA